ACAACATATATTAAGGAGTGGATGGAAAGTGGTTGACAAAGAGAGAAAGAGAAAACGTTAACAGACTAAAATAAATTTAAAATAGTGGTCTAGTGGCTCCATCAGGCAACTGAGATGTCGACAAAATGTCTAATTACCAACTTCTTCTTCTTCAAGTGCCATCTTTGTTCCGAAGGTTGGCGATCATCAGGGCTATACGTATTTTCGAAACTGCTGACCGAAACAATTCGTTGTTGCTACAGCTATACCATTCCCGTAGATTCTTTAGCCAGGAGTTTCGTCTTCTTCCTATGGACCTATTTCCTGCTATTTTCCCTTGCATAATTATTCGAAGCAGTTCATATCTTTCGCCTCTTGTAATGTGTCCCAAGTATTGCAGTTTTCGTTTTTTGATCGTAAAAATGATTTCCTTTTCTTTATTCATTCTTCTCAAGACCTCGATATTTGTGATTCCCTCGGTCCATGATATTCTCAGGATTCTGCGATACATCCACAGTTCAAATGCCTCTAATTTTTTGATATTATTATTTTTTCAACGTCCATGACTCCATTCTGTAGAACAGCACAGAAAGTACGTAACATATTATCAGGCGAAGTTTCATTTCAAGGCCCAAATCTCTTCCGCATAACACTCTCTTCATTTTAGTGAATATGGATCTGGCTTTTTCTATTCCTATTGTTATAATTACCAACTACACATACATTAATATCCTAAACAAACAATTATATCCTAGATCTGTGTTTCTGCTTTTAACTACATCGGCAGTAACGTATGAAATAATAACTCCACAGCTCAAATATCGATATTTCTTAAATACAGATAATTCAACTTCTATAGTCGGACAATTTTCAATTAAAGGTGACTAATCTACAAATTGAACTAAACGGTAGCGGCAACCATGAAAAATTTCATTAGTAAATTCTTACCGGGGTCATTTTTATTCTGTATGCTTCGCCCATGTAAATATGTAAATTTGTAACCCATCTAAGATAAATTTGCCCCCGTAACAGTATAAATTGGTGCGATTCACAAGTGTATAGTGAGACAAGTTCATAGAATAGTTTGGAACATCGGTAAAATTATCAATATTTTGCTGGTCTATATATATTTACGTTTTTAGAAAGAATGTTAATTAGAGAAATGAAATATGATATCTTAGCTTATTGAAGTTTATGAAATATGATATCTTCCAGATTTTATACAATGTACATAGGCGTAGTGTATTATTGGGAATATATTTATTAAATATACTTTATTATTAACTTTAAAATAGTTTTGAGGTAAGTAAAGTAAATTTAAGGCCAGTTTATTCTTTATATAGTATTAAACCCTTAACGGCCGCTCAATATACAAAGAGAAATTTAACAATTAATTTATTAGATTGGATTAAAAACACAAATTAGGAATAAATTACAACCAGAAAGATTTTTTTTTCTCATTTTTAAGGAAAACAGTACAATTTTTAATAAAGGAACATATTATATCTTAAACGTAAATTAAATTTTAAGGTAAAAATTTTCGAAATATTCGGGATGTAGATGCATTCTACACTTTTTAGATAAATAAATAATATTACTTTTGTACATCCTACATTTTTGCACTATCGTCTCTTTTTATAATGTGGCCAATATTGTCGAATCTGGTTTCATCTGGTAAAGCAAATTTAGATTGACGCCCATGTACTGACACTAATGTAGCGGTTTCTTCACTATTATAAATTAAAATTATAAATCTATGTCGACTCATGCTTTCTCTTATATTATGCTCTTCTTTATCCTCATCCTTTGACCAATGCATATCAACTTGAAGCAGAGTGTAAACCAGATAATATACATATGTTAATAATTTTTTTTAAAGCTATGTTATTCATTTCAAAATTGTGACGGTTATTCTCAATTACTTTTTTATCAAAAAGAGTGAAAAAACTTCAATATATGACTTGCCTACATGGTTGCCTTTTATATTGTCTAAATATCAATCAGACTGATGTTGAATTACTACTGAGCACGAAAGAATATCCGTTATTATAACTTGAGATAAATTTGGATTTACTATTTTTGCCTTATTTTTACTTATTGGTTTTTTCTTTGGACGTTTTATCTGTGGTTCAGAGGAATATCATAATTAGAATCGTTAGAATTCCCAATCACTTGTATTTCATATGTACCTGCAATATCCGATTTTATTGATTCTTCACAAATAATATTATCATCAATATCTTCAAGGAATACAATAATATACCAGCAAACGAATGGGAAAGATATCTGACGGAACTGTTTAAAGCAAAGGAAAATAATAATCAACACAATAACGTACCTGAACTAAGAGACGAAACAGAAATCAGTTTTCACGAAGTAGAAATAGTCATAAATTCACTCAAAAATAGAAAGTCACCAGGACCAGACGGAATAACCAACGAGCTTCTAAAATACGGATGAGAAAGTTTAAGCCTAGAGATGACAAAACTTATACAAAAACTAATATTGCACTGCAAGATACCAGACGCATGGAGAAACAGCATATTGATACCAATGGTCAAGAAAGGAGATAAACAAGACCCCAACATTTATAGAGGTATAAATCTACTGAACACCGCACTTAAGCTTACCACAAAAGTCCTAACCAACAAAATCAATAAACTAACAACTTTATCAGATGAACAACAAGGATTCAGATCCGGATGATCCTGCGTAGACGCCGTATTTGTACTAAGACAAATCACAGAAAAGGCCATCATATCTATATTTTATAGACCTGACAAAGGCTTTCGATCGCATCCAAGTCGCAGACGTCTTACACCTACTGTATAAAAGGAACATACCAATCAATATTATACAAACCATCGAAAGCATCTACCTCCATAATTCAATACAAGCAAAGATAAATGGAAAACTAACACAGTGTATACCGGTACAAAGCGGAGACAGGGTGACTCGTTAAGCCCACTTCTCTTTAATATATTAATGGACGAAATAATACAAGTAGTACATAAAAGTCATGGCTACAGAATTGGGAACAAAGAAATCCAAATATTATGTTATGCAGACGACGCCGCATTAATCGCCGAGACAGAAGATGAGCTCTAAAGATTAACACATATCTTCAATACAACAGCTAAGAAATACAATATGATAATATCAGCGGAAAAATACAAATGTATGACATTTAAATACCCACTACGGTGTAAAATCGAAATTGATGGGAAAATAATAAAGCCGGAAGCAAGGGTTAGATATCTGGGAATAGATATAACTAGTTACGGAAATGTTGAAGGAGAAGTACGACAGCAAAGCTTAAAAGAAGGTAAAGCGGCGGGTTCTCTTAATGACATAATCTGGAAGAACAAACACCTAAGACAAGACACAAAAACAAGAATCTATAAAGCAGGAATTAGACCTATATACACAGCTGAGACAAGACCTGACACATCTAAAACGAGAAGACTGCTAGAAACAAAAGAGATGAAAATACTCCGACGAATATCAAGGAGAAGTCTGTTGGATAGGGAGAGAAGCAAAAACATAAGAAGAGCATGCAATATAGAAGACATAAATGGATGGGTGACAAAACGAAAACAAAAGTGGAACAAACACATCAGTAGAATGGCGGAGGATAGAATAGTACGAATAGCACGAGATAAGTCACCAAATGGACGAAGAAGTATTGGCAGACCAAGAAAAAGATGGTGCGACAATTTAAAAAATTTAGTAAGCTAATATTGAAGAAGAAACAGGCTTTAAAGCCTACAAACTAGAAGGAAGAAGAAGAAGAAGATGTCTTCTACATCAGAAACTTTCTAATCTAATCTCGGCGGCAAATAAACCACATTAAGTGGCATTTTCACAATCTGAGTCTTCTTCTAACAAAGCTATTAACTCTTTAGTAGTTAGTGCCATCTTCATTTCATATTTCAAGAATTTACTGAAATAAACAAATGCACTGCTATATAAACGCATTCATATGATAATAGTTTAGCTTAGTTCATTTTAATTTATATAAACTTCATAATATATTTTCATATTTATGTAAACGAATAAACACAACAAACTTTCAAATTAAGTTTAAAAAAAAAAACAAATATAACGTTTACAGCACACAGCAATTTTATAAATAGAGAATGATGTGGAATGATGTGTAATTAAAATTGCAGATTGTTTTTAGTCTAATGAAAAAAAAATATTTTCCAAAGTTTTCTGTTTTTTGAAGTTCTGTATTAGATACTCTCTAATAAGAATAAAATTTTATTTTATTTTGTTAGACAACTATAAGATACCTGTTAAAAGAGACGTGATAATTTAATAATTAAATCGGTCTTAGATTTAATTTTTACGTAATTACTTATGTGTTTAAATAAATAATTAAAATTTTTTTTGGTACGCCTCTGCAAAATTGATAATTTCAATACGATTTCGTTGAAAAGTTATTGTTAAGGGCTTCTTTAAGTAGGATGTTGCCAAGTAATCACCTTCAATTAAAAATTGTTTTAGTATAGACAACCAACTTTGTATGTATCTATAGTTGTTAAATCAATTCCGAAGCCTTTGTTTCCAAAGAAAGATCAGGTGGCAGTATTACTGGTGACTCGATTTTTTATTGTATTGATTTTTTTAATTAACTGTCCTCTATACTGATCACATATTTTTTATGCATATTGTAAGTTGGAGCATTGTTCATCCGTTTTTTTTTTTGTTTGTTTTTTTTTTTGTTTTTAAACATTTATTGAAGTCAATGGTTTATTGTTTATTTTATTTGTATTTAACCATTTGTTGTACTACAGTGTTTATTTGTTTTTGTACATCAATATTTCAACTATCTGTTAAAATAAATTGTTTTTATTTTAACTGACCTATTTTATTTATTCTTCTACCGACAAGTTCCTTAATTAGATGTTAAATTTAAACAATTTAATACTTTTATAAACAAATTGCTTACCACAATTTTTTTAACAAATTGCTTCTAAAAAATTAATTTTGTATATTCTCTGTCATATTTTTTGTAGGTTATTATGACCCATCCGTTAGTGGCTCAAGTCGTAATAATTGGGATCCCTCACGATGCAGATGGCGACCATCCTATGGCTGTAATTGTCCCAAAAGAACCTTTAACAGTATCTATTAATGAAGAAGATATCATCAACTTCGTAGAGGAAAGAGTCACAGATACAATGAGGCTTAGAGCAGGAGTAAAGTTTGTTAGTTCTATTCCTATGACTCCGTCAGGAAAAATAAGGAGAAGGGATGTAAAAAAAATGGTTTTAGACGGGGACCTTTAACAATATTTTAATTTTTTCTGATTTTTATTATTTCATAGTATTAATATTATTAATGACATTAGTTATCGAAACAAAATCTTCTGGTGTTTATTTTCCTGCATACCCCTAGGACAATCCTACTCTTTTTAAGATGGCTACGAATAGAGATTGCAATTGCTGGATCCATCATCCAGCAATTCAGCTTGATCCAGCATCCAGCAATTCAGCTGGATCCAGCAAACCATGCTTTACCAAAATATTGATAACCAGTGGCGTAACCACATCGAAAAGCAATTTGTGTCAATTACGTCAGTAAAAATAATTTAATTTTGTATTTAATTCTGATTAGTTCAAAATATTTAACTGTTGTCTTCGATAATTTTACTTTAAAGCCGACAAAGTTCTCATTTTTCAGGTAATAATATATTGTCATTTTTTAAATATACAGTAACATATCTATAAGTGTGTCCGATGGACACAACTTTTTCGGATAAGGGATAATATACTTATGGTTTTTAAAAATTAAAGAAGATGAAGAAAAACGTAGGCAAGAAGAGAAATTGAAAAATAAAAAGCATAGGCCAGAAGAGAAAGAAGAAAATGAGAAGTGTAGGCAAAGAGAAAAACGAGAAAAGTAGGCTAGAAAAGAAAGAGAAAAAGCAGAAATTTAGAAAAGAAGAGGAAGGAGATTGTTTGGATGTTTGTACATTTTTTATAGGGTCGCCTATAGGGTAAATGTGTATAAGAGTATGCACTTAATATTAAAAGTGCGACATTTTTTTATTTTTACGAAAATGGACTATTTTTCATCAAATATCCATAGAAATGGATGCTATTGAAAGAGTCCATTATTTTCTTCTTCTACACGGACTCCATTTGAAGTATTATCTACTACCGCGCTTACTGGATTGTCCAAAGGTACGTCGGTAACATAGGAGGGGGCAAAATCCATATCATGAAAATGGTCAGGGTTAAACGGAGATGTTCTCGATGCTTTAAAAGAATGTTCGGCCTTCTGAATATTTTCTACAGAACCATAAGCAGTATTAAATAATCCAGCAACTTGAAATTGTCTAATTACGGTACCTGGATTACTTACCATCCATTTGTCACATTCCTTACTGTAGGTTTTTTTTAAAGGATCAAAAAATCCACTATCCAGTGGCTGTAGTTTATAGTTTGAATGAGGCAGTAGAGATAAAAGATCAATGTGATTCTCTCGGCAATATTTTATAGCTTGCAGGTCACGATGAGAGCAAGAAGAATAGTGCTCGCCAATCAGTGTTACTATGGCTTAAGAAGACAGATGGCCTCAAAAATGCCTAGAAAAATTAAACTGACTATATACAAAACACTGACTGACACAGAATGACCAAGTATTGCTCAAACGTTTTGAGCGAAAAATACTAAGACGAATATATGGAGGCATAAAAGAACAAGATTTGTGACGCAGGTGTTACAATTTTGAGTTGTATAGAAGTTTTGGAGAACCTGACGTTGTAAAATTCATTAAGGTAGCACGCCTTAGATGGAGAGGTCATGTAATTAGACGAGAGGAAGATGCCATAATCAAAAAAGTTTTTGACCGAAGAGGGCCGATCGGACAACGAAGAAGAGGAAGACCGACACTTAGGTACCAAGACAACCTAGAAAATGATTTGAAGTCTATCGGAATTAGAGCATGGAGAAGAGTTGCCAGAAACAGGGGCGAATGGAGGATTGTTCTGAAGAAGGCTTTGGCTCATAAAGAGCTGTAACGCCACTGATGATCATGGTCACGATGAGAGCTGTGATTGTCGAGAATTAAAAGAACTTTGTTTTCAGCACTGGGTTTGGCAAACTTATTAAAATGGATTAACCACTTAAAAAAAAAAGTGTTGATATATCCAGATTTAGAAATTAATTTCAGAGTTTCACATGGTGCATTTAAAAACAGCTCTTCCTTCATTCTTTTTCTGGGGAATATGAGTGCTGGAGGAATATAGTTACCTGTGGAGTTCATGCAACATACAGCCGTTACAAGTTGTCCACGATCTGCACTAGCTACCTTCCCTACAAGTTTCTTTCCCTTGCTCGCTAATGTCTTGGGTAACTTATTAGGCACGGTTAATAAACCGGATTCATCCATGTTATATGTTGAACTTGGAGAGTATTGCCTTAGTTCATAAAGATTTTTAAGGTAAGAAATTCTGTTTGGCGCGCTTCGCGTTGCAGTGCATAAGTGAGCGACAAGCTTTATACACATGTGTGCTCTTATACACACTAAAGCTTGTCGCTAACTTATGCACTACAACGCGAAGCGCGCCGAACAGAATTTTTTCGCCTAGAATTTTACGGTGGCGATCCGTGTCCCTTCTGTTCGCTGTGCAGCGCGTTGCTTCGCACAGATACGCGCGAGTACATTTAACTACATGAAGAAAATTCATTACAACCTTTTTCTCCGCGCTTCGCTTCGCGTTGCAGTGCATAAGTAAGCGACAAGCTTTATCCTAAGTATTTGCATTGAATTGACCTCAACTGTTTTAGGTAATATTAAACATTTTTTCTTATTGTCCCAAATCGTCTGTTTCTACCGTACACCACATAAAACATTTCTATAAAATTTCTGCTTCATGTTTGTTCAAAGCAAAAAGTTTTTTTTTCAAAAACAAAACAAAACAAAAGAAGTTATTGTTCTTTATTTTATACGTTACTTATAAAGAATTATTTTCGATATTTTTAAAAATACATAAAATATTTTAACTGCAAAATCTGTAAACCTGTAGTATTTAGCATATTTTGTTAATTAAAAACAAAACGTAATAAATGTGGTTTTTCCTCTCGTGACTTGAATATAGGATATGTACATATTGGCGACAATTTCGCTACGCACTTAGTCATACTTAAACAATAAAACATACATACATAATAAAACAAGTGATAATATAAAAAAACACAGTATCGTCTTAAATAAAAGATTTTGTAATTCACTGAAATGTATGTTTATTTTATAGTAACGCTTTATATAGAAATCGGCCCACTGTAAACTTTTGACTTTAACTATATATTTTTCAAGAAATATTCTATCAGATCACAAAACAAATAAACTGTTTGAAAGACAATTTAATATGCTTTAATGTGAGTATAAATTTATGAAAATTTATTTCGGCTTCCTATGTTTAACATAGTGAAATGAATTCATTAAGCAAATTAAGCTTTTTTATTATTAACATAAATAGGGTTATTGACAATTTAAAACTTAACACTTAATTTTTTAATAATGGGTATGACCTCCTCTTGCCCTAATAACATCTCTCATACGATTAGGCATAGATCTAATCAAGTTTGCTATTGTTACTTGTGGGATGTTAAGCCACTCTTCTTCTGCTGCAAGAATAAGCTCTGGGATCGAGTCTGGGGTATGAAGTCTAGTCGAATTCTTCGTTTTAGCTCATCTCATAAATGTTCGATCGGATTTAGGTCAGGACTGTTTGCTGGCCAGTCTATAACCTGAAAACCGACTTCTGCAATGTAATCTTGTACGATTCTTGCGGTGTGTGCCCTTGCATTGTCATGCATAAAGATAAATTCGTCTCCAATGTAGTCGACGTAAGGTACCACATGAATTGCTAAAATCTCCACAATATATCTGGCAGCCGTTAAACCTCTTCTTCCGTGAACACGGTCGTCCCTACGAATGAACTCAAGATCGGTTCGTGCTCCTCTAGAAATTGCACCCCAGATCATGCAGGAACCACCCCCATAAGCACTCCGCTCTTCAAAGCAGCATTCTGCAAATCTCTCTCCTGGTCTCCGGTAAACTTTCCTTCTTCGGTGGCTACCATAAAGTCATATTTTGGTCTCATCTGATAACAGAACAGATCCCCATTGTTCCAACGTCCAATTCCGATGATCTTGTGCAAAACGCAGGCGTGCTTGCCGATGAGCTGGAGTAAGTTTTGGACCAATCGCAGGTGTTTTAGGGGTCAGGTTATTTTCCCGCAGTCTTCGTCTCACTGTCCACTGACTAACAGCCACTTTTCGCACCTCACGGAGCTGTCGTTGCACCTGAACGGCATTAAGGTGACGATTTCTTAATGTTGTTGACACAACAAGGCGGTCATCACGAGCGGTTGTAAATCGCCGTCTGCCTGTTCCAGGTCGCCTATGAAAGGATCTAGTCTCCTCATAACGTTGGCACACTCTTCGAACCGCTGCGCGTGTCATATCCAATTGTCTAGCAACAGCTCGTTGACTAAGTCCATTTTCAATTAAAGCAATAACTTGGGCGGCTTTTTGTGGCATAGTATGCATTAAACTTTGAGATGTGGTGCTACAGGAGAATGCATAAAATATCGTGGATTGAAAAAGTAACTAATATAGAGGTGTTACAAAGAATGAAGAAAGAATGTGAAGTCATAAAAACTGTTAAAATTAGAAAGATTCAATATCTTGGACATTCAATGAGGGGTGAGAAGTACGTATTACTGAGGTTGATTATGCAAGGGAAGATACAAGGGAAGAGAAACCCAGGACGACGCAAAATGTCCTGGCTAAGAAATTTGAGAGAGTGGTTCGGCTGCAGCTCATTAGAATTATTCAGAAATGCGGCCAACAAAGTTAAAATAGCGATGATGATTTCCAACCTCCGCTAGGAGAAGGAACCCGAAGAAGAAGATGCATTAAACTAACACACTTGAACACTGCTGAGATTATGAAAAACGAATAATATGCAAATTTCACTTGCAAAGGCAATACTTTTACAATTAGACAAATTTGTTATTTTCATGACAATCACCACATAAACACGTTTCATTTGTTTACCGGTTACTACGCATGTAAACGATAAGCCTTCTTGATAAATTTATACTCACATTAACGAATATTAAATTGTCTTTCAAACAGTATATTTGTTTTTGTGATCTGATGAATATTTCTTGAACAAAATATAGTTAAAGTCAAAAGTTTACAGTGGACCGATTTCTATGCACGCAAGTATATATATATATATATATATATATATATATATATATATATATATATATATATATATATATATATATATATATGATTTCAGTTGTTTTCCGGGTTTGACTCCGCGTTAAGTAATTTTGGTTTTTAGAAAAACCATTGTTTTGACGCGTAAAAAACCCTAATAACAAGATCTGAGAAACTGGCAGATAAGGAACATAAGAACGAAGAAATGCAAAAAGTCAAAACAGCTCTAAGAAAAAATGGCTTCTCCATGTATACGATTGAAAAGGCACAGAAATCCCGAAACAAAATCAAAGATCCAGAAGAAGAGGAAAAACCAGTCGGAAAAACTATCCTGCCCTATATAAAGGGTACGACAGACAAAATCAGTAGAGTGCTACGTAAAAACAACATAGAGACTATTTTTAACACCGACAAAAAAATCGCAACCATATTACCATCGGCAAAAACAAAAGTTGCATTGGAAAATCAAGGTGTATACAGAATCCCGTGTGAGGACTGCGATAAATCGTACATCGGACAGACAAATCGAAGGATACAAGTTAGACGCGAAGAACATCGAAACGCTATCGAAAGAAAACAGAAAACTTCATCTCTAGCACAACATGCCATCAACATAGGACACAAAATCGACTTAAATGGAACAACAATGCTAGCCAATATCGAAAATAAGGCCAAACGTGTAATCAGGGAAGCCATAGAGATCGAAAAACATCCAAAAAATTTAAATACCAGAGGCGATGCCCAAAGACTCCCAAATACGTGGAAACATATTCTACAGAAAAACGCAGAACTTAAAATAGCGAAGAAGACCCCGCCCACTCTGCGCACAGGACCAATAACAAGAAGCGCTTCAAGGTATTTAAACTTAGCGAGCAGCGACCGAGAAATCAGTTCTCCTGAAACATCAAGACGAAGCAGAACTAATCTGACTTGACAATGGCAAGTGTGACCTTGCCGAAACGTCGTCAAAACAATGGTTTTTCTAAAAACCAAAATTACTTAACGCGGAGTCAAACCCGGAAAACAACTGAAATCACATATAGCTCCCGCGGAAGTTTCAAATCCAATATATATATATATATATATATATATATATATATATATATATATATATATAATATTCCATATGAACGTAACGTAAAGCTATGGTTTGTTAGAACAGTGAGCGACGCATAGCTCACAGTCAGTCGAACGCCGCGCACGTTCGTCAAAATCAAAGAAATGGTTCTCTATGATAACGGTTTGTTAGGTTCTGCTAAGCTACGCGCACTGCAGTATGATAGCCGTGTAAATCGACGGTGTGCGCTGGAATCAACTGCGATTTGATTTGGACGCAAACGTTCAGCTGATCTCACAACGTACACATAATATACTGAAATTATAATTGTATTTTTATATAGTTATGAATATTGTAATAATTAAGTGATGTCTACTAAATTTTCTCCCGATGAAGATGAAAGACTAGTGGATCTAGTACAAATTGCAGTTCCAATTAAATCCCTGGAAAGTCTAAAATATTCTCGAAATTTTTCCTCGTTTTGAAACAATCTTTCTTCGACTGTTAATTTAAAAACACCTTCTGTATTAAGACATGAAAAAATTTCGTTTACATTTTTATTTCTTTTATTTACATTTAACGTTATCAACTCTTCTTCTTCCTCCTCTTCTTGGAGTAATAAAATTATTGCATTATTTTTGCGAGAATTCATTTTTTAAATGTACAATATTTGAGAGAATAAACTTGAAACCAATTGTTTGGTTTTGTCTTGTTTTCAGAGCGACAGAATATTTATGCTAAATAATCTAACACCCAAAACTGCAGTGAGTCGAATATAACAGATTCTGCTGTGCGCTGCGCACTGTTCTAACAAACCGTAGCTTAACGTAAAGAACTTTTACGTTACAAATATTCTCAAGCCATTACTGTACAGAAGTTTTCCAAATATCTAACATTCATTGATAATTCGTGTCATAAGTAGATAACTATTCATTGAACTTTCTGTGGTGTACGTACCTATATTACGCAGTCGTGCCTAAGAATATATTTATATAAATAGAATAGATTAAAATGATATAAGTAAGTTACATATTTACAGTATATTTCCGTTTAATAACTTGTAAAATTTAAGACATCTTGTTGAAATAAATTTAATTAAATATAAACATTTTTAAATTGTAAGTTATATAATTGCTTTGAATGCCTTGTGCACTATGTTAAACATTTTTAGTCCTTATTAATTAATTGGTGGGAATGTTCGTCCTCTTAACCCTCTATTACCCGACTTTTTTGTAAACTTAAGAGAAAATGTCTTAATTTTTAATGTTATGGGCCATATGATTAATTGGTCATTTTTCATAATGCTCGGGCTATATAAAAAATGCCCTGTCGGTCAATATAATAAATACTATTAAATTCATCACATAGCCCGGGCATTATGTATAATGCTTGGCATCTACTAGACAGGATGATTAAAACTACTTTTATTTTTATTAAATATGAAATATATTTTTTTGATACAATCAAGTATGTAGTAAAAACTAAAATATTTCTTATATACTAATGAAAACAGTATTGCAGTCTTCTGTGAAATGGCACATGAGTACATTTAATGAATAAGTATACATAAAAATTATAATACGTATTAACGGTAATTGAGGAAACCAAAAAAAGAATTCTGTGTTTTTATTTGCATTTTTTTCTAATGACCGTAATCGATGGTAACACACAAAGCGGCCAGTGGGAAATTAAATCGTTTTTCTTCTATAAAAAAAAGAATAAATCAACCTCAATTTGAAATAAAAATACACTTACCACCTTTGCGTGCTACATCATCGAAATTTATTTTGTTTGAATGATTTACAATACATAACTATTTGTTATGTACTTACACTTATCGGATTTACACCCACCTTTACAACCACACCTACTGTATCCTTATCCCCCACAGTTAGAAGATTTTCTTGCGCATTCTCTAAAAGATATCTCAGTGTCTGGAATCTCTTCTATGGAGATAAACTTTTCTTTACAAACGGTAAACTGGTTTCTTGAATATAACTGATTTAGTATGAGATATTTTGTGCCTAGTTTGTAAAGCTTTTTTTCAGTTATCTCTGTCACGATAGCTAGTAAATTTCTTTGATCACTACGAGCTCGGTCTAAATCTGGCACTCGTATCCTAACTGTGTTACCTAGTTTAGCCGATGGATATTTGGAATTGGAAAATTTTAACATCTTCTCGGCTTGTAGTTCTAGATTCGTCAAAGCCAATTTTCTTTTCTTTCTTACATCGTTTATTCTAATACCTATATTGGATTCCAGATTTTCATTATTTTCTAAATTAACTACAATAGCCGTTTCTACCGCATTTGTTAAAAATTCTGGAACTTGACTAGATTCACGAGATGAATTTTCATCAATTAAAATTGCTCCAATTTTTTGAACGTCCAGGGTGTAGATAGATGATATGGAACTTGATTCGGGCAACATTATTGAAGAATCCACATTTATATTATTATTTTGTATTATATCCGGTCCTGTAGATAGCCCAGCCTCTTGATTTTTGAACAGGACCTCTAAGTCTTCCTCCGAATTAACATCAGTCAGAACTTCTTGGGGTAGAGAGCTTTTTAAACCAACTTTTAACTTTGTGCCGAACATGGCTTCATATGGACTACAACCTACACCAGTGTGATGAGCTCTATTTTTCATTAGTTGAACATAACGTAAGCCTTCAGACCATTTGTTTGTATTGTTGTCTTCTAACCACGAACTAAGCATATTCTCTACGTCTTGATTGGCCCTTTCTATAGATCCTTGACTCTGAGAATGCCTGGGTTTGCCATGTACCATTTTTAACTCGGGCCGCATGCTACACAGCTCTTTGATAATATGGTTAGCGAATTCTCTGCCATTATCACTATGAAGCACACTTGGCGCTCCAAATATTGTGAAAATATCCAAAAGTACATGCGATATTTCTTCTGCTCTTTTACTTGTAAGAGGTCGAAGTTGGACAAATTTGGTAAGATGGTCTTGATAAACAAGCACAAATTTACAACAGCCATCGGCTTGTGACTGCATATCGATTAAATCGACTTGGCATCTTGAATTCATTGCCTTGCTCAATATTGGTTTCACCACCAAGCCTTTCTTTGGAACATTATGTTTTTTCTGACAGGTCATGCATAAATTTAAATAGATAACAATCATCTTTCTTGTAATATTTTTAAATTTAGAATGTACTTCCTTCTCCATTCGATTTCTACCACCATGCCCGATAGTAATATGAAGATCGCTCAACTTATCAAATATTTCTTCTGTATGGACGTAGTATTTAATCTTCTTTCACAGGAACAGTCAATTTTTCTATTTCTCTAATCGTCATAACGTCGAATCTTCGTAAGCGCTGATAATCACTCGGCGTTTTATTTGTCTGTTTACTTTTAGAGTTTTTTACCCTCTGTATCATTTCCATGTAGGCTGTTTTTGTGAAAATTTGTGAATTTTGACTTTTTGCTGAAATTAATTCAGTTAATCGATTGTTAAATCGATTTTTCATATCACTTAATGGTTCTTTTTTTTCCATAGTTCACTATGCGATACTTTATAAACAAAGAATTAACAAAGAAATGTCACAAACAAACTACTTGTCGTATATACCATTACTAACATTCAACTTCAATATGATTTATAAATAATGGCCGACGCGCTTCGGTGACTGTAATCTTGGATACAGCGCGTTGATTCGCTGGTGAAGATCGCATGATTTACTAAGAACGCCGATTTATCACATTGCTCGGCCATATTATAGCATTTTTCATAATGATCAGACAAGATGATAAATTGTAAAAAGTTATCAAATTGCCCGCTGAAGTTAGTCATTATTAATAATGACCGGGCATTATACATAATGGCTAACATAATCATTTTGTCCATAACATATATATGCTCAAATATGCATTTACAACTAGTAATTTTTTTAGATTTTTTAAATTTTGTTTGGGGAGAGATTTGGGAGTGTTGAACTCAGGCAACTGTGGGCAGCAAAAACTAACGAATTAAGTTGAGATACTTATTTATTATACCAATCAAAAAAATAATTAATTATAGTTGTAAAACATGAAGCAACTTTACATTTACAAAATACTGGCCAGTGGGAGGTCTGGTCAAGCCTAACTTCCTTTGGTGGTACAATAGCAGTAGGTCCTCTCTTCTGTTTTTTTACAATTTCGTTCTCAATTTCGCTGAGCCTGGGACGTCCTTTTAGGTCGATATTTTAGATACCACTTTTTAAATCTTATGTCTGTTCGGTAAAGAGCAATTAGTGAATCCATAAGATCGACACTTCCCATAAATTTGTTATAAAATCGCACTGCATTTGGACAGCATACATAAATTCTTGATTTTTTTTCTTATTCCACCTCTTGTCTAACGAAGTAGGCTCAGAACCAACAAATGTACTAAGCAAATGAACCGGCTTATTATTGTACCACTTTAACGCTGTTAGTCTTATGCCATCTACTGTAGCGTGCTTTTCTTCTACAGTGCCTCTGCCCTGTTTCTTCATATTCTTGTCATCAGAAAAATTGCAATTAGGCAATCTGTTTGGACGAACAGTTCCCAAACATTGCAGTCCACATTTTTCCATTAAATCTGCAACTGAGTGCTATTGAACCAGTTGTTAAAATATACTTTATAGTATTTGTTTGGTTCGACTATCTCACACAATCTTATTAGGTACTACATTACCGCTGGTGCCTATATTAGGTAAATGAAGAGGATGTTCAACAGTTCCTGTATATAATTCCCAGTTATAAACAATACCATTGCTATCACACAAAACAAATGCCTTGTATCTCCATTTTTTGAGTTTGTTCTTCATAGATTATTTTAAATAATATGCCCCTTTGAACGGTATCATTTGTTCATCAATACACAATTTTGCACTCATTGGAACACTTTGAAAATTTTGAACTAGACCGTTGATAAATGGTCTAATTTTGTATAATTTATCATTATTGTTGACCATATTTTCGTTATTATTGAAATGAATTTTAGTTTTTATTTCTTCTCATCGATTTCTAGATGTAGCGTCAACTATTTGAGCAACACGTGTTTCCTTCTGCCAAAATGATCTTGTCCTTGGCAAGCCATATATTGACATCAGTAGAACAGATCCAATAAATTAATTTAATTCTGCTAGTGTCATATTCAATGGTTTATTTATATTCTTTTGCAGTACATACAAATTACTTTGTTCTACTATGTTTTCCAGCATATTGGTAGATATCATCTTTTTAAAATAATGTAGAGGGGATTCCGGTTCTAATAATTTGCATGTCGGTAAATTACCTTTCCATTCTGGAATTGGAAATACTGTTCGGGGACCACTCTTCCACTGAATGTTGTTTTCGATCATTTTTAACCTCAAGGAATTTAATACAATCAACATAAATATTATATTTTTGTATTGTATTGTAGATTGTAAGTTCTGGACTACTAACATTACGTTTTCTGGTGAAATGAATATATTTACTTTTGTTAGAGCAAAATTTCATTAAAGATTTCATTGACTATTTTTGTAATGCAGAAATAGTATCTTGTTAGGTTTAATTAATTAGTTTTATGTTTCTTCCTTTATAATATATTATGAGATCATCTGCGTATAGCCTACTCTTTACTGGTGGAGTATTATTTTCCATAATACTATTAATAGCAATAAGAAAAAGAGTAATACTAATCGATGATTCTTGAGTGCTACCATTTTCCTATATTCTTGTTTTAAAAATGAAATCGTCTACTTTTATTTGGAAGCTGTGGTTTTTTAAAAAGTTAGTGATGAAGTTTAGCATATTTCCTTATATACCTAATTTCTGTAAAGTTTTAATTATACTATGGCGCTAAACTGTATCAAATGCTCTGGTTATATCAAAAATACCGCTATGCAGCTTTGATTATTTGCTAGCGCCTCATGTATTTCAGACTTGAGGTCAATTAAGTTGTCTAGAGTTGATGTATCTTTACGAAATCCACTTTGTTTGTTAGATAGAACAAATCTTTGCTCGAGTATCCAAATA